CCACATGACAGCAGCAATAACAGCTTTCAAAATCCTTTGAGTGTAAAAGTCTTATTTGTTTTATGAGCCGACACATGGAGCTAGTCTTAAAAATAAAAAAACATGAAAGCTTTCTTGTAGCTCAGATTTCATAAGAAAAAAATTGCATCTTTAATTAAGATTTATGGGCCTCAGTAGGGCCCAGCAAAAGGAGAGAAATGACTCAGAAGTATAAAAACTAACAGTTAAAAATGGGGAAATATGATTAAGGGCCTTTAATTCCTCCTGTCTTTTTACAGGGTTTCCAGTGGCTCCAGGCAAAAACAGGCACTTATTGTCTTTAAAACAGCATTATTTTTGGCATAAAATGTTTATGAATCAAGATGAAACTTGTAAGGAATAATAATATCAACCTTACTTGAAAGGCTTCTCTACCTAGAAACTATATTTAGTTTAATGAGAAAAAATTCCTCAACAAAAAATAAATATGCATGTAAGTTTGCATAGAAGGAAAGATTTGTACAAATTGACATCTTGCCTGCCATTTTAGCACTTCCTAGTTTTCATGGTATCATAGGCTCAATCTCACTGGATCTTTGTAAGAACTTTAAGAGGAAATTAGGGCAGACACTAGAAGTTCAACTTTGAAAATGAAGACATGTTTTTAAGATGTTAGGGTGAATGTCTGGCCATGTCCATAAATAAAACCTGGACTCTAAAGCTGACACTAACTGCATGGTGCCATCATGATATTCCTATAAGAGTCTATATGTCTGTGTCATTTCCACATCATAGATACATTTTTATTAGTTGCAGTTTTCAAAAGCACAATGAAGACAGCCTAACATAATGTATTGGAAATGCTCTAAATTTTTAAACTTTATAACTAATAAAGAGGTACTTTGTGCATTCACATTAAAAAGTTAACATGAATGCTTTTAATGGAGTACGAAAGCCCCTCCTTAAATATATTGCTGGGAAATTAGAATTGAGAGCAAATTATTCCCCAAGTACCTACAGCCATATTACCCCTGTCATTATACATATAATTATCCCATTAAATGTTTTACCCTCTCCCCCAAAAAAGTTATTCTCTCTCCTATTCCTACCAGTAGAATAAATACTTTGGGGAGGGTGTTGTGTGGTTATCTGTTAGTCCAGTCAATGTTGGGAATACTGTCAGTATTTGGTTTGTCAACTAAGTACAACTGGCTTTAATTTCTTAAATTACTTCCTTATTGCTGCAAGGCATGTCCTCTTGATCCCATACTTCAACATTAACATATTAACTGTTCCTTTCATGATTGTATAACTTTAATTATCAATCACTGTTAAAGAGTCCTAATTCATGTCCTCAAATTCAAGTTGCAGGCTGGTTCTACCATGGTACCACACCATTCCTTCCAGCCTACGATTGCTCACATCCAGCAATGGAATTCTGACAATCTTTACTTTGATGCCAAAACACATAAATCTGGTACTTTTTCTCTCAATAATCTCAACTATCTATGAAGAAAAAGAAACACAAAGAAGTAGGCATCCCATATATTCATTATGTATAAAAGCACTCTTTATGTCCTCAACCCATCTCTCAATGAATTACTTTTATTTTTTTAGGAATTATCTCCCTAGAACCTTAGGGATGACATCACTGTCTCTGTTCTCAAGGTCTTTCTAAGACATCTACCTAAAGTTCTATGTTCTTGAGAGACATTGCTACCAGTGTATCTAACCCGTACTGCAAATGTCCATTATCTAAAATTAAATTCATGATTGTGTCCTCTAAACTTAACTTCCTTGTATTTTCTTTTTTTTTTTGAAGTTTCATATTTATTTTTTGGCAGTATTGAGATTTTTTTGACTTTTTTTTAGTTTATCCTTCCTTCATCAGAAGTTTATTCCTATCAATATCCATTCCACCTTTTTTTCTAGAAAAAAACTTTTAAGTAAGTTTTTTACTGTGAAAATACTGTACAGAGGGGTTACAGTTACATGAACAAGGTAATGAGTACATTTCTTATCAAGCATTGTTGCCTCCTCCTTTGTTTTTCCCCTACCATCCTGTCCCTCCCATCTCCACAGCTACACTTCCCCGCCCCCATTCTACTTTTTGATGGTGTGCGTGAACCCCATCTCCTCAATGCTTACTTCTAATCCCTTTACCTAAAATTCCATCTCAAACTCTTGAACTTCTAAAAGTTTTTGGAATTCTAATTGTCATCCAAGTATCGAAATGATAATCTGATAATTTCCAAATGTCTATTGGAAATATCAAAATGAAAATAAGGAGCTTTAATTTTAAGGAAAAGAATGCAGAGCTAGATGTGCAAGATGTATCAAGTGACATGCACAAAGTAAACAATTTCTATTTAAATATATCTTCTAATTAGAACATTAACTGTTTCATATTTAATAGGCTAATCAATTATATGGAATATTATGTGATAAGGTCTCATATTCCATACAATGTACAATAATTTTCAGGAAAGAGTAGACATTTTTCAAAGGAAAAGGGTGGAAATGGTGATTCATTCATCTCTTTGCTTTCCAAGGCTATGTATTGTATTCATCGGTGCCTTGTTACATGGCCTTGTGGGTAATGTTCTCTAGTTTTGACTACATTCTCCTCACAACAAGGTAAACTATCTTAAACTAATCCTGAAAAAAAACATGAATTGAAGTCAATAGTAGTAATGGTAACACAAACAATAACAAGAAAATAGGCTGAAACAGCCATGTCTTGTATAAATTTTTCATCAAGGGCACTGTGAAGCAAAAACAATGGATTATATTCTAAGATCTATTCTGCAGAATACATTTCTAACCTTATCTTAGTATATTCACAAAAGGTTGAGATATAGTTATGCAGCCATCATATATAGGGAGATATTTTATCATTGTCTGCCTTTTTGCATTGTACCCTTTAAAATTACTGTTACTTTTATTTCTAATGTTCATAACTTACCAATAATGTAGCATCTACATAATTTATAAATAAATCAGTGCTTCTGTACTCCAAATACTCTGCATATTCTTTGCCTGATTTTGGAATAAGTAAGTACAATGGCACAGTTCAGATGTTACTGTCCTGAAGATCTCATTCCCCTCCTCATTACATCTCAACAGCTGATGGACCACAGAGACACACTCAAGTACTTACCTCAACCACAAACATTGAACTGAAAATATACCAGGTTTCCAATTTTATAGCACTTTGACAGCACAACTTGTTCAGTTACCACCTGATTTTGTTCTCCTGGCCATTGCATAATGTCAAGATCGGAAAGCATTGGGAAACCTTAGAACTGAAACTCTACTGTATCAGAAATCCAAGATCTTCCCACCACTGCCTTAGCTCTGACAAACTGACTCTCTGAGGATCCTTAGAGCCTTCCCTTTCCTCTGGCTGTGCTTCCCCTACACCATGGTCACATTTTAATAACTATGTATGCAAAGGAAAGTGGCAGTCTCCAAATTCCTTTCTGCCAACTCTTATCTCCCTCTATATCATTTTACAGATGAAAAGATTTGGAAAAGTTGCTTCTTTCAAGCTCCGAGTAGTGATACCAACTATAAGTAGAAAGTTGAAGAAGACAGGTCCTCTCCATCAATACCCTCTAAACCCAGATTCTTACATATTGGACAATTGAATGGTTATTACTTTCTCAATGATAAGCTCTAGTAAGGACCAGGGGAAAAGTCATTTTGTCGAGTTGTTGAGCACAAACTAAGGGTCCAAATGATCTGAGTCCACATCTGTTGACCTTGGGCATCTCACAGACTTTCTGACCTTGATTTCTCCTCTCTTAAGTGAAGAAAAATATTGAGTCACTGAAAAATAAGTAATATAGTTCTTATAAGATACTTTGAATAGTTATCTTTAGATAAAAGCACTTGGCAATGGTTACTGTATAAATTATTATTATTGTATAGTCTTTATTTCATGATTTCCATTAAATATCATGTGTTTTCCTCCATTTTATGTGCTTAATGGATAAATTAAGAAGCACATGAAATAAAAATGGATGTATGAGTCTTCAATTGTTAAAAACAGTTTTTAATTTATATGCATTTTCCATCAAACTTCACCATGTTGCAATCTTTTTTGCTTCTCAATAAGTACGTAGTGAACACAATAATTGAAAAGAATATCTGCCAAGCAACCAAACAATAGTGTTTTGTTGTCATTATTATGTTCTGATGGTGGTGCTGTTTTGTTTCCTTTGTTAGCTTTGCATTTCCATGGCTTTAACCATAACAAAATGATGATAGATAACAGAAATTTGAAAAATTATCTATTCCTCCTGCACCATTTTTAGGTATTTCTCTAGTCTGTCTTCTCCTGTAAATTTGCCTGTATTATTTTAGCATGTTTTTTCTCCATGGAACTTTCAGAAGTGACTCCAGAAAGGACCTTTCAGACTTGTAAGTAACCATCCCAGGCACTTCTACTTATAAACCCCCCTACAATGCTCCAACTACAGGCTCTCAATCTAAAAAGACATAATATAAAAAAATTAAAGAAATCTCTCAGGTAGATCGCCAGGCCTCACACAGGAGACATGTCCCAGGGTAGCAGCTGCAGCCAGACCCCGCCACCCAACGGGTGGTCCTCAGCGAAGGTGTGTAGCCTGGGGACTACAGCACTACCCTGGTGGCATACTCGCCAGCACCACCCCAGAAGGAACCAGGATCTATGACCACAAATTCCTGATGAAGTGTCAGAACTCACCTGTGGCCAAAACGCCCTGAGTGACCATTCCTGGGGTCACAAATCCTACCAGTGACAAACCATCTGTGGAAGCTGGCCAAACCCACCTGCCCAACAGCCCAGAAGAAAAGCGGGTGATTGGTGAAGAGTCACAGTTTGAAATGCACATTTAAGGGACCAGGTATCAGATTGGGCGATGCTTTTGAGCCCCTCAGTCCCTTCTCAGGAGGAAAGTTACACCAGCCAGGCCTTATGAAAGTTACCCTGCTGGGCATTCAGTTGTGTCTGTCACCCGGCCCTCCTCTCTCACTCAAGGCACCTGATCCCCTTTCCTCATTGTGAACACCAGCACATACCTCCTGGTGCCTCCGTTGATGCAGGAGCTGCTCCTCAAAGGGGGTGACTCTTGCCTACACCCTGCAGCCACCTGCCAAGAATTGGACAGAGAGGAGCTCTTCTGAATGATCATCTGGCTCTTTCAGACCTATCTTCTGGGTGTACCCCTTCTTAGGTTGGGGTACCTGGCAAAGTTCCCCTCCACTTCTTTCCCTAAGATAGGAAATAAAATCCACCTTCACTATAGGGCCAAGTGTTTGGCCCCGACTGAGCTCTTTGCAATTCCAAGCAATACCAGCTACTCACTATGTGTTCAGTGCTTGTAATGTAGTTTACATTAATTTCATTTGGTTCTCATACTGACCCTCATTTTTGTAGCTAAGAATTCAGACTGGCTCAGGAGAAATGAAAACACTTGGGACTTGAGCTCTGGTACTCTCCATCTTATTTTTCAGTGGCAGATTCTACCTCTCCGTCAAGTGACACAGCTTCCAGCTCATTGCAAGTGAGAGAAAGGCAAATGATAGTTGATGCTAGTAGGGAGTCTCTTTGGTCCATATATCCCTCATCTTTATTGAGTGATCCATTTGTGTGAGTTGACACGGTGGGGCAAGATGAGGCCAGCTCTCTGCCTTAAAGATTTCATTGGCATGTAAGATTTAGTTTCCAATTGTCTAAAAATTTAAAAAAAAGTAACTTAAAAACAAAGAAATCTCTTGGCTCAAACATGACCCTAAAAATACAAAACTCAGAGTAACCAAACAGGTGAAGATATTACAAAGGACAGGACTGTTGAACACACCAAAAGAAATGTCCATGAAAGGATGGGACTAAAACATTCACTGTCTTAGTAAGCTGCTTAAAAACTGATCGTTTCATTCTTTGAAAATTCGACACAACATAAAAGCATAGAGTGAAGCTAAGGAAGGTATTTTCTGGATGCACATAGGGAAAAAAAAAGGATGCACCTAGCCCCAGCAAAGTATGCCTATAGCTGAAGTATAACAAAGTATAACAAAATACATGCCTCTACAGAATCCATGGTAAAGGTAATGAGGTACCGTGAAGGATACAGCCAGGGAGGCTTCAGTGACAGTTTCCAATTCTCTCTAAGTTGATGGTTCCCCTGATTTTCTTTATGTATGTTCTACTGGTGGGTCCTTCTTTCCTCTTTTCTGGGCAGAAGAGGAAGGCACCAAATATCCCTGCTGCCTGGTTAGCCAGAGCCTAATAAAACAATGATGTGGTCGTCACCACACAGCTGGTCTTACCCTGGAGCGGTCTGGACACCGAAAGCTCAGAAATAGCCAATGAGGACATCATTCAGGGTGAGCTAATGGGATTATGATAACAAACATCTCAAGTCTCAGGGATTGAAAGCAATAGTTTTTTTCTTGCCCCTAGATCCGTCTATCTTTCCCATGCATACATCTTGAGAAGGCAGAAGGTTCAGCTGCCTTGTGAGCCCATGTCAGACCGCACACGCCCCAGAAAGACAGGAGACCCACTATGTGGATGTCAGCAGTCACTTCAACACTGGGAAAGCATGTGCTGCTGGGACTCATCGATAATTAAATGTTTTAGCCTGCAAGTGACATACAATTCTCCTCACAACTTATTATTATTTTTTTGACTGGCACATCAACGCTTTTAATTCCTGTGGGCCAGGCTGGTCTGAGGTGTGGCAGGGTGGCCTGTCACCAGCGGGGGAAGGGAGGGGTGGGGCTGGCCCCTGGGAGGGGCCTCAGAAAGAGCAGAGTCCCGACCTGACCATAGCCCATGGAGTAGCCATACACCTGGATCTTCTTGTCCTGGCTCTGGTGGGAGATGCGGCCGCCGCCCAGACACTCGAAGTCATAACCCTCCTTCTGCAGCTCGCCACACACTTTGTCATAAATATCGGCGTGGTACTCGGCCCACTTGTAGCCGCGCACGATTTCCTTGCTGTCCTCGCCCTGAGCCCCGGAGGGCGGCCTCGAGTGGACTCGAATCAGCACGTACTTGAAGACGCCCTCGGGATCCATATCCACATCAGGCATCTCAGCGAGGCCCTCCGCCGCCATGTTCCCGGGCGCACCCGGCCTCTGGGTCTCACGGCCCCTTACCCAGCCCTCTCCTCACAACTTATTAAATAAAATTAGTCACAGATCCTCTACCAGCCATACGGGGGAATGAGTTTAATCTTGTGCTGTGCCTCAAAGGCAGCAGACAGACAAAAACAGTTGTGAACAACAGAAAACTTACTCATCCAGAAAAGATGAACCAGTGTCCTGCTGTGAACTTGAATCTAGGACTAAAGGCAGAGAGAGGGCTGGAGAGTAGAATATAATCTAAATTTTGCCCTCAATGAGCTAGCACACTTTGGGGAGAGGAGGCATTATTCAGATCAACAACAAAAGTTAACTTGGAGTGAAGACCATTTATAATCAGAAGGAACACAAGAATACCATATAATTTCGCCATTAACAGGCTACAAACTATAACTCAAACTTTCTAATTATACCCTTCAAGATAATTAAATAGACCCATAATTCAAAGACACTCCACTCTTCAATGTATTGAAAGTATTCTTTTTCTAAAAATCATTACATCTTTCTCTTAGCTTTTAATACAATTAATAAAAGTACTTTCATACAGAGACTATTTTAAACAGAGAGAAAGCACACAATAATGTATGCACCTAATAAGCACTAATGAATAAGCAAATAAGCAAAGGGGGAAAAAAGCAAAAGATGCTCTGAGAAGCAATGTTTGATAGTGAGATAATCTCACTCTCAGCATAGGATTCAAATTCATGCTTCATCAACAAGGCTACATTTCATCTAGTAAATTTCAAATGAAACTAAGAATGTACAGTTTGAAAATAAGCAATATAAGAGAAAGAAAGAAAATATATTTATCTTAACAGTTAGGGTGTCGTGTTCTTGGGAAAGTATGTTTTGTTCATGTTTCTAGCATCTGCAAACTGAGTATTAAAACTACATTGGCTCACACATAGGGTCCCTAAGACTTGCTTTATAGAAAACCTGTTTTAAGCCGGGCGCTGGTGGCTCACGCCTGTAATCCTAGCTACTCAGGAGGCTGAGATCTGAGGATCGAGGTCCAAAGCCAGCCCGGGCAGGAAAGACTGTGAGACTCCTATCTCCAATAAACCACCAGAAAACCGGAAGTGGCGCTGTAGCTCAAGTGGTAGAGTGCTCGCCTTGAGCTGAAGAGCTGAGGGACAGCGCCCAGGCCCAGAGTTCAAGCCCCACGACCGACAAAAAAAAAAAAAAAAAAAAGAGTTCAAGCCCCACGACCGACAAAAAAAAAAAAAAAGAAAACCTGTTTTAGCAGTTGATACCAGAGAAGTCATTAGTAGCTCATTTAAAAAAGAGCTAGTATGACATAAAACTATAGAGCTTATAAATAATTTAAATTAGTTTTCCTCCTTATTTCTAATATACACACTATGAATTCATTTTTATCTCTATAAATTTTGATCTTTTAAGGAAGAATTTTTTTATTTTTTATTTTTTTATTTTTAATTGTGCGAATACCATACAGAGGAGTTACAATTACATGGGCAAGATAACGAGTATATTTCTTATCAAGCCTTGTTGCCTCCTCATTAAGGAAGAATTTTTTAAATAATGAGCTCTCTTTTCCACTTTCAAATGAAGGGGAGAGCATCAGATCAAGCTGATTATACAACTTTAAAGAGTTTTTGTTTAATCTTTGAGTAAAAGATGTATTTCTTATCAAACCTATGCTGTGTGCTGCTGTGTGCTCCATAATATAACCAAAAAAAATGTGTTCACCATGTGCTTAATCACATGAAATCAAGGCATATTAAAGAACATATAAAAAATCAACAACACTATGAAAGTTTAGAAAATAATAGGGAAGGGCTGGGATTGTGGCTTAGTGGTAGAGTACTTGCTTAGCAAGCATGAAGCCCTGGGTTCAATTCCTCAATAGCACATAAACAGAAAAAAGCCAGAACTGGCACTGTGGCTCAAGTGGTAGAGTACTAGTCTTGAGCAAAACAAGCTTAGGGACAGTGCCCAGGCCATGAGTTCAAACCCCAGGACTGGCAAATAATAATAATAATATTTACCCAAACTGATTATTAAGGTCCTCAAAGGAATATCAAGAAATAACAGGATCTAGCCTGATATTGGTGACTCATGCCTATAATCCTCACTACTTCTAGATGAGACCTGTGGATCCTGGAGATTCAAAGTCAAGAAGGGCAAATAAACCCACAAGACAATCATCTCCATTACCCATCAAAAGCCTGAACTGGAAGTATGGCTAAAGTGACACATCATTAGCCATGAGCAAAAAGGCAGAGCAAAGACAAGAGTACAAGTTCTTGAGTTCAAGCCCCAGTACTAGCAGTCTAACAAAATGAATACTGGGAAGTGGAAATGTGTTTTGGGGTAAGGCAATGAGATGCGGGGGGGGGAGTAAGGGAGCACATAGTAGAAAAAGAAGGGTGAGCAAATGCTGTCATTAAATCAATTTAGATTATATAAAAATTGAACTATGTAACTTGAGAGGGTAGGGACAGGAGGGAGAAAATAGTGTAGAACAACGGAAGGCATGACATTGACCAAGATACATTATACTTATAAAACCGAACTTTTAGGATTGTAACCCCCTGTACAACTACTTAGTAATAAAAATTTTGAAAGAAAGGAATGGATAAGGAAATGAAACATAATAAAAAAGAAAAGTGATAGAAATGATTGGATCATAAGGCTGAAAATCTTGAAGCAAGCATTAAGAACAAGGATTTGAGAAATGCCAGAAGGTAAGATAGTAATGTTTATTGAGTGAGCAACATAAGCAAACCTGTCTGCCTAAGTACAAATAGACTGAATTCTTAGTAGAATTGAGTAGCTTGTGAGATTTTTCAGATGATAACTAGCAAGTCCTATAAAATATTGAAAGTATGTATGTAAAGCCATCAGAAAGCTGATGAAGAAATGGTGACTAGGCAATGTAAGATTACCATGACTAAGAATGAGAGATGAATTGGTGACCTGCAGCCACTCTTTCTTTCTCTAGGAGCCCTGGCTGATTTTGAAAACTAGAGGGGAGGAACCTCTATAATAATTTATCTGGTCATAAGACCTTTAATGAGGACCTAGCAGCCAGCAGAGGTGATGAACTCATAGAGCACACATAGCACTTTGGAGATTTGAAAAGGTTCATATATATGTCTTATTTCTCCTTCAACATATATTCCAAAGTCTGAAGCTAAAGGAGAATTAACCTCTGAAAAAAAAGATCAGAGCTTTTGGTAGGATGGGCCAGTAGAGTTGATGAACTCATAGAACACACATAGCCCATTGGAGACTTGAAAAAGCTCATATCTGTGTCTTATTCCTCCTTCAACATTTATTCTGAAGTCTGAAGCTAAAGGAGAAGTAGCCCCTGAAAAAAGAAAGGACAACTTTTGATAGTATGGCAGTCCTAAGAAAAGAAAAATTACAGTTCAACAATCGACTCCCTTAAAAACTTTTCAACTAGGCAGGCCCGTGGCTCATGCCTGTAATCCTAGCTACTCAAGATTCTGAGATCTGAGGATCGCAGTTCAAGGCCATCCCAGGCAGAAAAGTATCCATGAGACTATTATCTCCAATGAACCACTCAAAAACCAAAAGTTGAGCTATGCCTCAAAGGGATAGCCTTGAGCAAAAGAGCTCAAGGACAGTGCCCAGACCTTGAATTCAAGTTTCACGAATGATTAAAAAAATCTCCAAAAACAATATATTAAGTGAAGTAAGCCAAGACCAAAGAAACATAGGTCCCATGGTTTCCCTTATTTGCAATATCTAGTATATGTACAAGTCAAGCAGCAAAGCTCAGATAAGGTGATGTTAGGAAAATGAACCCTAAGATATGTATTTAAATGTTTTTTTTTCTTTCATGCATTTGTTTCTAACGCATCTATAAGATGATTTCTTTGTTGCTTTGTATGTCCCTCCCCCACAGTATAACCTCTGCTTTCACTGTATTTGATGTCAGTATAATTTGTGGAGGGGAAGGGGAAAAACAAGCCGTTTAAATAAGGATACAGGTGGACCCGTTACAACAATGAGAAGTACAAGTTGTCATGTCGAAAACGAACTTTACAGCTTTGGTGAAGGGGGTGGAGATTGGGGGGGGCGGGGGAAGTCTGGGAAGGGATGGAAAGGAGAAACAAAGGAGGAGGCTACAATGCTTGATAAGAAATGTACTCATTATCCTGCCCATGTAATTGTAACCCCTCTGTACAGTATTTTCACAATAAAAAATAAATTAAAATTAAAAAAAATCTCCAAGTAGGAAAGAAATAAATACTAAAAGGCTAATTGAGCCTTCCAAAAAGTGCAACCCAAACTCAATACAACTGTCAGCTAACACTACATTGCTCTCATAGAAAAAAAGTTGAATCTCACAAGGAAGATAATATCATTTGGAGTCACAAATTTTATACACAATATTACTAGGTATCCTAAAAAGCATATGTTAATGTAAAGGGAAAAAAAGAAAAAAACCTAGTAATAATGAACTTGCAGAGAATCTAAAAATGCCTTTAGAAAGACTAGAATTTTTTGAGTTAATATACATATTTTTAAATACTCAAGGTAGGAAATATCTGAAAAATAGAACAGTCAATTATACTTCATTTTAAAAACACAAGTCAATAAAAACTCCAGAATTTTAAAACAATTTCCTAAAAGCAAGTACTCAAGAACATAATTAAAAACCAATATGAAAACACTGGCTTAGATAGTATAGGCATAAAGTTGTACAAGAAGAAATAACTAAGCACAAAAATTTAGAAAAATGGAAAACACAAAAAAAGCATCTGGAACATATGAATACATTAAAGAAAAATATAATGGGAAACTTAGAAGAGGAAGAAAAATAGACAGAACAATATCTTTAAAAAATCATCCAGTGTACTTCTGTAATCCAGCACCAAAGTATTTTAAAAATATAATTTAGAAGTTATAGCAGCATCAAAATAATCAACTACCTAAGAGTAAATATAACAATTATGTGTAAGATACTAAAATCAAAGACT